GTAACCGTTGGGGTCCCCCCCGTCCAGCTCGTAGCGGTCATTGAGGTAGATGGCAAAGCGCAGGGCTTCCTCAGGGGAGTGGGTCCACTCCAGGATCTTCTTGGCCCAGTACATCCGCAGGAAGCCGTGCATCTTGCCCTCCTGGACCATTTGGAGCTGGGGGTAAAGGGACAGGCGCAGGGGTCGGTCACTGCCAGCTCCCCTCTGCCCCCCAGGAAAAGGCTCAGAGGGGAGACACGGGACGCTACCTGGGCGGCATTCCAGAGAGGGTCATGCGTGGTCCCCTGCTCCAGCTCCTCCAGCGTGTAGAGAAAAGGCCTCTTGTCCTTGGCGTGGAGCTTCAGGGTGGTTTGTGCCCAGCTGTAGGCACCTGTGAGCAAGGGACAAGGAGCAACGCTGAGCCACCCGCTCCTGCGGGGCCCCAGGGAGGGATGGGGAGTGGGGCTGCTCTGGGCACCGTGCCCTGGAGGCACCAGCCTTGAAGAGAGCATCCACCACCTCCTGTCCTACCTCCAGAAGCTACCAAATGACAGCACATTAGTGCCCCCACAGCCCAGAAAGAGGATTGACAAGTTGGGGTGACCAGTTGGGTGCCAGCCTGGCCCCCAGCGTTGCCCACCTGCCCCGGGATGCTACCTTGCACGCTGTCATAGTTCTCGTTGTAGTAGCAAAAGTTTTCAGCCAGCTCCCGCCGCACCACAGCCTCCTCCACGAACGTGTCCACTGACTCCTTGTACTTGTCCCGGTGTTTCTGCACCTCCAGGATGGCTCGTTGGGTGGAAACCTGGCCTGGGGACACAGGGAGCGAGCAAGTTGGGCTGCTGGTCTGAGCCTCCATGCTCGGTCCTGCTGCAGGGTGGGAAGCTTGGGACACTCACCGAAGTGGAACCACGGGGACAGGTTGCTGAGTGCCGCCTTGTTGGGGTCGTTCCGGTGGGAGCCGAAGTATTTCAGCCGCTCTGCGATGAAGGACTGCAGCACAGCCATCCCCGCAGCCGTGCCGGGGGTCGCCCACTCCACCTCCTTCACGGTGCGGTCCACCTGCAAGCTGGAGTAACAGGCCTCCCAGGTGATGGGCTGGGTGGCAACCAAGCAGCATGAGTGCATTCGGAGATGCCAGGGCTGCCCAGAGTGTTATGTCCCCTGGATGTCCCCAGCCACCAAGTCCCCAGATCATGCCAACCTTCTCCCCTTACCCAGCCCTGCATGGCCAGAAATGTGGGAAATTAATGAATGAGGTGGGAACCACCCTTCCCTGAGGCATCCCCATCTCCACGCCACCTCTATGTGACCTCAGGCAGGTCACCATCCCCATCCCCTGCCATCCTCTCCCAGGATCGCAAAGCAGCTCTCAAACTCCCCAGGACGTGAGGAGGGTGCGGAGGTGCCTTCTGCTGGTACCTCTGCTGGGCAGGATGGGGGATACGGGTGACAAATGATGGGAGGGAACTCGGTGAGGAACTCGGGGAGCTGAGCGTGGATCTTGCCGCGGATGGTCCAGGCGGTGTACTCCTGCTTGGGGGAGGCCACCCAGCAGGGCACAATGTTGTGGGCATCAACCTGGGGAGCAAAGCCGTGGAAGAGGGTGTGAGCAGGAGAAGCCAATGGTCCCAATGCATGATGCACACCCCATTTTCTGACAGAATGGGCTTATTTCCCACTTGCTCAGGTAAAGCTTGAGCACAGATGTGGGGGTAGGTGAGCAGATAACAGGACTGCAGTGATCTGAGAGAGGACAGGGCCATAGCTCTGGGATGCTGCTTTCCTTTGCACATTGGGACAATTTGCACTCCCTGCAGTCACAGCTGTTTCATAGAGGTGGTTGAGCTTGAAATTATCCTCCCAGGCTGTCTTTAGCTGCGCAGCACCCAGCAAGCTAGTGGGTGGGCTGGGGAGACCCAGGACAGATGTCCTCACCCTCCCTTCTCAGGTCACTCCAGCACACCTCTGCAGGCACAAAACACAGGAGACAAGGTTCTCCCACATCTCACCACACAGTTTTCCCCTCCCAAAGTGCGGGCACCCACCTGAGCAAATGGCACATCCTCTGGCAACCGCTCCTTGACATCCTCCACCCACTGCCGGGGCAGGCGGAGGGGGCAGAAGTCTGTCACTAGCCCACCCACGCCGTGCTCCACCACAAATGCAGGCAGCACATCCTTGGCGTAGCCCAGCAGCAAGTGGAAGGAGATGTTCAGCTCCGCACACTCCTGCAGCGAGAGGGAAAGGGCTATGGGATGGTGTGCACCCCTGCAGACCCCATCCCACCACCACCCGCTGAAGGGATTGATCTGCTTCCCCCCTTCCCTGGGATCCCTGTCCCACCCAGCGCTGGCATCCCC